GGCCCGTGCGGGCCGCCGCTGAAGGGCGGCATCGGCGAGAAGGCCGGTGCTCCGCTCTGCGCGCCGCCCGCGCCCGGCGCGCCGGCCAGGCCGTTGAAGTGCGGATGGAGGCCGGGCGGCGGCGCCACCGGCGGGCCGGCCGGAGCCGCGTACGGCGCCGGCGACGGCACGAACGGCGCCGGCGGGCCGGGCGGACCGGGCCCGGCCGGCGGCGTGAAACTGTGCTGCGAGTGAGGCGTGCCGGGCCCGGCCAGGCCGAACGGCGGCCCGGCCGGCGCGCCGGCGTCCGGCGCCAGCGGGCCCTTCCAGGCCGGCGCCGGCTCCGAGTCCAGCACCGGGAACACTGTCAGCGCAGCCACCGCGGACCACCGGCACGAGCCTGCCGACCGGAACGCCGTTAGTGTGAGACAGCCGGCCAGGCGGTTGAGGGGCAGATCATCACAGCCACGGCCGACCACCAGGACGTCCCGGCCACCAGCGCGAGCCTGCTGACCAGGACACCGGCAGTGTGAGGCAGCCGGTCAGGAAGCTCAGAGCAGGTCACCACAGCCACGGCCGACCACCAGCGCGAGCCTGCTGACCAGGACACCGGCAGTGTGAGGCAGCCGGCCAGGCGGTTCAGGGGCAGGTCACCACAGACACGGCCGAAGACCAGGACGTCCCGGTCAACAGCGCGAGCGTGCTGACCGGGACGCAGTCAGTGTGGGGCAGCCGGCCAGGTGGCTGACAAAATAACGGCCAGCAAGCATTTCATTAGCATCATGCTATCAGGGGCGCAGCCAGAGCTTTGGTAGGAGGGGCACAAGGTTGACAAAGGACCCCCTGATAGTAAAAGCCCCCCAAATCGCTGAGTATGACTAGTTTGCTGTCGTGGACATGTTTTATAATATATATATATATATATATATATATATGACAAAAAATATATTTTATGCATTTTTATACCTTCTGCAACTGGAATATAGGCCAGACGCTATCACGAGATCAATTCTGCCGTAAGTTTTTAGTAAATGAATTGACAAAATCATGCGTTAAATACCTGCATGACATTAATCGCCGACGCTCTTCGTTTTACAATAGCCCTGTGGACTCCTTTTAGACCGACAGAACTCAGAAAATTTTCAGAATTTGTATTTGGTCGTTCAGAAATAGCAAGATTCCGCAAATTTAGATTGTAGGTCAAATCGGGTCAACAGTTGGTACTAACATGGCCAGGGTACGTTGGTCTGAATATCTTCAACATTCAGTCAGAACTGATAAGTGGTACAAGTTATGTAACGTAGTTTTAAGCATGCACGCTCGCATATCTTGAAACATAAAACTCGACGCCAGGCGTTGCAGTCTCGCGAGGCCTCTTGGCGTTGGTTTTGCGGCCAACACTTGGCCGTGGCCAGCAGGTGGACGAAGAAAGTGAGGCATCTGAAAGAAGTACCTTTGAATGCTTTTGGACACTACATTGTAGTTTTAGAGACATTCCAGGGTATACATCACCCGTGTGGTTCTTAGGTTGGTGACAATAACGTATTGGTATACAGTACCGCGGAGTGGTGCTGGAACCTGGTTGTGGAGCTGTAAGAGTAAAGGTAAAATTTCTGCCGTATTGCTGTAACTATTAATCTGTACAAAGAACATCCTCAGTGATAAAAAGGATTTGCCGAGAGCAATCCTTGGACTGTACGAATCATGGGCGAAGGAACAGGGGAGCCAGAGGGGCCATGGCCCCACTTTTCAAGGTGGGGGGGGGGGGGCAGTAGTGTTAACTGTCCCCCCCCCCATTTATCAGATTAAGGTTGTGTTTAGCTTAAGTTTGCACCAGATTTAAACTTACATACCGATTTGCCCAGTTCACCAGCCATCTTCCCCAAGATGCGTCATCTTTTTCGTTCGCTCATTAACCATCGCTCAATGTCACAGCCGCAGCCGGCGCCACGCGGCTCATGGAGACTGCAATGCCGGGCGTTCAGGCTGTTGTTGCTGTGACTTGAGTGCGCGTATGTTCAAAACCACATTACATAGTTTTTTGTCAGTAGCCACTTCTGACTGAATCTTGAACATGTTAAGACGAACATGGATAAGCCATGTTACTCCAAGCTTAGGACCCCATTTCATCTACAATATACGTTCAGGGATTCCTCAATGTCTCTGAAGAAAACAAACAAGCACGGATCTAAAGCTTGTGTGGCAATTATTGGACCACCTTTGGCGATCAGGGATGTTGTTGCGTCAATGAGAATTCTTGTGCTGATCCGGGGCCAACTGCGCGGTTAAGGCCCCCATGTCAGGGAGGGTAGCGATGTGATATGATATATCCTCCCAATGGCCTCCGGATCGACCAGGAGATCCCGCCCCGTGCCGCTAGAATGACACCCAGAAGACGCTTTGCGATGGAACGGAGTGGCCCTTCAGCTCTTGACCGGAGCCGGCAATGTGCCTTTGATGCTCTTCTCAAGGGGCCCCTTGCCCGGAAGGAAAAAAGGGGCCTCATTATTGTTGAGTGGAGTGGAGGTCTCATTATTGTAGTATGAAGTATGAAGTGTGAAGTCTCATCATTATTGTATCTCACAGAGTAGGTCAAAATGGATTAAAAAACAAACAAGGTCATCCCATGTTTGCCCAAGAACCATTCATGTTTTCAGAACAGATTAATGAAAAAGCGCATCAAAAGGTTTGAACATGCCCGCCCGCAACCCCGAGAGCAGGGGCAACGATGGTATGGGTTGCAGGTTCCGTAAACGGAACGGCGTCGGCCACTACAAGCGCCTACAGACGGCTGGCGCCGTGTTAACTGTCTTATGGACAGATTAGTTGTTAAGGAAACATGAAAAGTAGAGAATCTACCTTTACCCTTCCAGTTCCACCACCAGATTCCAGCACCACTTCGCGGTGCTTTAAGGGCCAATCTGCTCTGATCATCAGTCTAAAAATCGTACACGTGGAAATGCGCCCAGACTGCCCCGTAGATGTAAGATTTGATGTCCTGAAGCGTTCAAAAGTACTTCCTCCCGAAGCGCCATCATTTACGTCCACCCGTTGGCCACGGCTCAGCATTAACTGTTGAACCGACGCTGCGCGGCCTTTTGAGACTGCGGCGCCTGGCGTCGAGGTTTTAAACTAAGATTTGCGAGTGCGCATGCTCAAAATTATGTCACATAAGTGTTTTGTTCAACTATGTTCATATAAGTTTTATAAATAACCAACTGTTTAAGTGTTTGAAGTGTTTACTACACAATTCAAGCGTTTAAAAATTTCAGAACCCTTATCATTTCCGTCCACCGGTGGGCCATAACAAAAAATTAACCACTGAGCTAACACTGCGCGCACTATGGAGACTGCAACGCCTGGTGCCAGGGTTTTTACTGCTTAGATCGGCGAGCGCGCATGTTAAAACCACGTTATATACATTGCATCACTAATCGATTCTGACTGAATGTTAAACATTTCCAGACAAACATGGCTTGGCGATGTCAATACACATATTTGACCACTCGATCTACGATCAAAATTTTCATCCTCAAATATTGATCAAGCATTACGATCTACAATCTACCTTCGCGATGCCCTCAATGTCTGTAGAACGCAGATATAAAACATAATGAAAAAGCTTCTGAGTTCTATCGGTTTAGAAAGAGCCTACTAAGCCATGGCAAATTAAGGACACCGGTTCTCGGGCTGCCGGCTGTGGCTGTGGCTGACTATCCCGCCCTGCCGCCCGGCGAAGTGGCAGATTAAGGACACCGGTGCTCGGGCTGCCGGCTGCGGCTGTGGCTGACTATCCCGCCCTGTCGCCTAGCGAAGTCTATAGTTGGCCGGCTCGCGCGCCCGCGCGACCGGCGGACGGCGTATGTTGCTCTGCGGTGGTTACCGCGATGGCTCGCGGGGCGGCGCCCGCGGCGGGAGGTGACGTCGTCGCGACCCGGGGCGGCGTGCATGTCGTCATATATCGTTGTGTGGTTGTTCGAATTCAAAACAAGTAGAACTGTAAACCTTAGGATGCTCGAGAATTAATAAAATGTGATCGAGTTTAAAAAATGTCACCGGTGATTTATTCCATGCGGTCGTTAAACGCCTCATTTCTGCAGTTTATTGACCTTAACAAGCGCTCGGGTGGAGGGTCAAATTGACTCGCCCCCCGAAGATTTTTCCATAACGGTTTTCGAACAGCGCGGCGCAGCTGCGCCATGTGTTGATAACTGCAGACAATTGAATAGCAGATCGCTTGGCATAAAAATGAGATGTGCTTTATAACTTCGCTGATCTATGGCAGGTATGGCAGATCTATGTCAGGCTATGGTTTCAGCGAAGTCAACTTCTAGGGAATCGTCCAATCTGATGCAACAACGGAGTGTTTGACGAAACCATGCATCTCTGAGATGCTTTCTTTGGCAACACGAATATTTAATGAGCAAATTACGTTGACCAAAGGTCAAATATAAAGGTCAGACCACAGTCAAAACAACCTGTTTTGTTACTCTGGGCTTGCTGTATGGGATAGTTTCTGGTGCTCATTTCGAATTTCTTGATAGTGGGAACCGCGTTGTGCATGTTCCATGGACTTCTTAGACGTCAGAATAGTAATTGACCTAAAATGACCCGGGTCAACATTTTGTTTTTAGAAACATGCTGCCCAGCGTAATCTTTCTGGCTTATTCAAACGCAAAACTCAGAGCAGTCCTGTATTATTCTGGTCACCATGACCTTCAAAGGTCAGACAAGGTCACTGATTGAAATGAACATGTGACCTTTTGCTTAGAAACAGTTATCCAGGCTCTGGGAGCACCCAAGGGACCAACCTGGAATTTGACCTTGTTTGACCTTATTTGACCCAAAAGTCATGACCTAGGAACCTCAAAACCTCAAACCTCAAAGTTTGACCTAAATGATTTCACTTACAGGTCAACACACCCTGTGGATTTGGTGTTTCTGGCTCTCTTAGTTCCCGAGATCTCGAGGGGTCAAATTGACCCCCAACCGAGCGAAAGGTGTCTGGCCGGCCACCCGGGCGCATGTTAAATCATGTTGACAGGATTGATTTCACGGTAGCTTCTGGTTTCTGCTCTAGTTACAACGTAAAAATAACAATGAAACGAAGAAAACCGTATCCCTTGTTAACAAGTAAACTATAGCCGGGGATATTTTTTTGTGGGAGAGGGGGACAACCATAAAGGGGGCTTTTGTCAACCCCGTGTTCCTCTTAGCAAGGCTCTGGCTACCGCTTGCCTACACACAAAAGCAGATCAAGTCATCTACGTTGAATGATGGGCAATTAAATGTCCGTCGGGATAATTCAAACCTAAAGTAGGCAGCTTCCCGGCGGCATTTTTCTGGGGTGGTGTGGTGTAAGGGAAGGTAATTTGGAAAAAGGTACTGTTACATGTGTCCAACACATGTTTACATCTCAATTTGTAGCAATGCTGATACAGAAATGTGCAACAAAGCAGCCATACCGACAATCCGCGGTCAGTCATTCGGAGACGGCCGGGCCAGGACAGTGACCACCGGCGGCGGACGGGAGCAGGGCTCAGACAAGGAATATATAATAGAATTGCCTTTATTCTGTGGTTTGGTTTTCAAAAGAGAATGTCCAGTTTTATGGCTTTTGTCACATGGTTTTTGGCAGTTTCAAGCTTCCGAATTTGTTTCCGCCTAAAATGCCGCGACAATTCTTATCTCTTGAAAAGCAGCCAGCGAAATGACGGCGCATGCAAAATCTGTTGTACTGTGAGTCTTCGATTCACTGTCAAAATTCTCAACAGCCTATGTTCAGGTCATATTTTGGCATTTACCCTGTATAGACAGATACCTCCTCAATGACCCAAAATGCCTACTCGCTCGTGGAATTTTGGCTCCCCAGGAAAGGCAAAGTTGAAATGGAACAATAATCTTGATCTTAAGCAGCTGGTTAGCCTTATTTCCCGAATAACATAGCTGAGTCGGATAGGCAAGAGTATGCACCAGTGAGAAACGGCTCTATATGCATATCTAGAAGAGCAGTCATTACATTTGAATAAAGAGCGATAACCTCCATCTCTACCCCCCCCCCCTCCCCCCAACTCCCGGTCATCGGGCTTGTTTTCCAGAAAAGCTTCTGAAGTACGCCCTAAGCTTGCCCCCCACTTTTTGGAACGTTTCTACACCTATGGTACGAATTAATTTTGAAAGACATCCAGTAACATTATTTTACTATGGTCATCGTTGCGCGCTCGGCGCCCGTCCCCTGGCGTTTATTCCAGTGGCCAACGGCGTTCGGTTTTTACAGCTGCGACCCAAGCCATCGCTATCCTTGCTCCCCGAAATTACAGGCGTGTCACTGGTGCTTTATGACGCACTCAGCTACTGGGGCTGTATGGCGCTACCAGCCTTTCACCTTGGCGGGAAGGCCGAGCAGCCCTGGGAATCGAACCCCATACATGTAGTTTCCCAGACGAGCCGTGGTCAACACGCGCAGTGGTTAACGCAGGCGCGTGAGCCACTACACTATCGGCACCCGACGCGCAGGCTCAAATATCTTGATGGTGTTCGTTTCACTAGTCGACCTTGCAAAATAATGAACGTTCTCAGGAAAGATGGGATGGTGCTGCGCGTTTTGAACTCATTTGGACCCACTCCATTCAGTGCTAATGAGACCCTTTATTTCTTTGCGGTACAGAGGGCCCCTTGAATACAACACTACGGGACCCTTTGTTGTCCTCGGTCAAGAACTGAAGGGCCATGCTGTACTATCGCGGTGTGTTTTCCGGACGTCATTCTGGCGACACGCGGCGGCATCCCCTGGCCGATCTGGAGGACCTTAGAGGGATACATCATGTCACATTGGTCCGCTCCCTTACGCGGGAGGCCTTCTGACCCGCGCAATTGA